ATAGAACACTCTCTCGTCGTTTCCTTAGATACTTGTTTAAATTTTTTCTTAATTCATTCTTCTAATTCAATTTTAATATAGTGTAATACACTTTTTAATACAAGTTTGGTTAGACGCATGTTTGTAGACCACATGGTGACCGTGAGGGGATTGGATTTGTTAATTTTGAAGTATGGTTTCGTCCTTCCCTTGTGCACACTATTCCTTTGCCATTTTGGTGCTTGTGCTTGCACTGCAATTTGGATATCACCATGCACTGGCAGGGGAGTTGTTGAGTCTGGCATCTCTAGTCATTTGTTCTATGTGGTATGGGTTTGGCTTCTAGCACTTTAACTGTTAACTTCTTTTTGTGCTTGTTGTTGTTGGGTCTTTCAAGATCAGTGAAGTTTCCCTTTCATGGAGTAGCCTTGTTTGTCATAATGTTGAAGTTTCTTTGTTCAGGCTTTGTATTAGTATCTAGCTCTTCGATTCAGTTTTCTTCCTTGGACAGAAAGAGTCCCTTACTTTGTTGTCAAAAGTGTTGTTACATGAATGTTTTCAACTACGATAACTTTTTTTACAAGTGCATTTTTTGCTTTTAGTCCAGATGCTTATGTTTTGCAATGATCCAACTGGTGAGGACTCTTATGGGTGTGGATATCTGGTATGTACTCCCTCAGTTCTGGATCTTTTCACACCCCATTAAAAATGCTCATCTATCTTTTGTGTTCTTGTTGCTCATCTTTGTGGCTTCCATTTTCTTTTTGTTTATCACACCAGTTTGAGTTTTGTGTGTTGGAAGAATGTATTTATCGTGAACTGTATTGAAGGATTAGAGTTGTAAATTTTTAAGGTTAGAGTTCAGTATGCTGGTTGTGTGGGTGCTTCCACTGCAATCTTGATATCGTTTTAGGCCTTCGAGAAAAAGGGGGTTTCGAATGGTGCAGGGAGTATACTGCCAATTGCAGTAAAAATATATTAAACAAATTGTACATGGTGCAGGAAGTATACTGCCACTTGCTTATGCCATTGTCGATTCAGCGAATGATGCATCTTGAAGGTGATTTTTTAAGCAATTCAGAGACGCATTCGATCAAAGATCAAAGATGTGTATCGTTTTCGATAGGCATGCAAGCATTATTAAGGCAACTTCGAGAGTCTATGATAAAGTACCTCATTTTGCGTGTATGTGGCACTTACTGCAAAACATAATGAAAAACTTCAGAAAAAGTCAGTAAAGGGTAACTGAGTTGTTCTACTCTATGGTAAAGATTACTTGTTGAACATTGGATACAACAAATGGTCACGTGTGCATGCTGAAGTAAATAGAATTTGGATGATGACATCAAATATAGCAGAATCGGTCAATTCAAGAACAAGACATGCCAAAGTTCTTAAAGTCTTGTACCTCTTGGAATTCATGAGACAGCTTGTCCAGAAATGGAATAACAATAACAAATTAAAGGCGACATTTTCAGGCTTTCACCTTGAAAAAAAGTATGAAAATATATTGCGGCGCAATAAAACTGCATCAGAGAAATTAAGGGAATGCTTGATCTGTAAATTATTTTTGCTAATATATTTTCTTCTGATTCATATCTAACATCTCTCTTGATTATATTATTTTCTTTTCATAGGTTGTAGAGACAAATAAATATGTGTATACAGTACTTGATGGTATTACACAATTCACAGTATGTCTTCACCAACATAAATGCACATGTGGGAGATTTCAATTGGATGAGTTGTCATGTCCGCATCATTTGGCTGTTTTAACAATAAAACACACTGGTTATGAGAAATATTGCTCTGATTACTATACAAGAAAAAATTTATTGCTGACATATCAGTTTCAAATAGATCCCCTGCCAGATGAAAGCACATGGAACATACCAACACATGTTCTTGAAGAGGTTGTACTTCTACCTCATGGAAAGAGACCTCCGGGAAGGCCAAAAAATAAAAGATATACACAACTGAGAAAAGATGGATTCAAGAAGGCGAAAATTACATGCAACAACTGTGGACAACAAGATCACAACAGGAAGACTTGCAAAAATGTTAGGCCTTATGATCAAGAATAAGAATAAGCAATAAAATTTGTTTTAGCATTTTGTTTTAGAAACTCATTGGTTTACTATACGAATTTAGATCATGTCTGTTTATATGGTTGATTCCCTTAGTTCCGCAATCTCGTGTTATTCAGTTTAGTGGAATGCTTTCTTAGTTGTGCAATCTCGTGTTATTCAGTTTAGTCGAATGTTTCCATGTTTATAGTTAGATGTGATATGATATAGTTGAAATGATATTCGATAAAATACAACTTAGTAATTGTTTAAAATTCCCATTGAATGTTTAGTTGGAATTGCATTTCTTATTTTAACTATTGATTACCTCAATGCTTAGTTTTCTTATTGCTGTTGAATCTTAGATGTTTATATGATGATTCTTGTTACTGCTAAGTGTTAATTGCTTGTTTATTGATATACAATAGCTCATTTTGTTTTATTTTCTCATAAGTAATCTCTTAATTTGGGCAAACAGTGACTTTGAGTTGCATTTTGGCTTTAAAATACTTAAATCACTTTCATTTCAATTTAGAAACTCAAGTTCCATAATCTCATCTAGAAAATTCTCTAAAAATAGACATGATTTTGGGAAAAATCTCTGTTGAAACACCCAAATACGAATTGGTATAATCTACACCTGATTACGAGATCCGTAAATACCCAAATACGAAAAAAAGAAAAATCTTTCATGCAAGCAAGTATCATCGCATGCCAGCACACATTTGCTCAATAAAAGCTAAGCAATCAGAAAGTTAAGAAAAAGTATAGTACATCTCATTACTGTCCAACAAATATGACAATAAAAGCTACATTGCACTATATTACACTAACATCCATTCACCTTATAATAAACCAATTTCTATGCTCACATAGTCTTATATGCAAACCAAATCACCCACTTTCAGAGGATTGCTTTGCCATTGGGAACATCCTCAACCAGCCTTTGGCTTGTGCTTTCCAATTCAGCCTTATAAGGGTTTGGGGAATATACCAGTAGGGGAGAGAAAAAGAGAGAGGATTCATCGACAGAGACCACAAACAAAAGTCAAAAAATCAAAAGGGTGTTAACATGACATCTATATCATATAGCTCAAGTCACATACGATCGATAAATACCCAAATACGAATTGATACAATCTACACCTGATTACGAGATCAACAATTACCCAATAACTATTATAGCTCAAGTCACATACGATCCCACCCAGTTCAAAGGCAATAAAGATGGAGGATTCATGCTATTAGCCAATTACATCGGCGCGTTGGGTAATCCCCAAAACTTCAAACTTGATACAATCGCCATGACAGCCCCAGTAAGGACACGAAGAAAGAACAACCTCAAACAGAGGACTTACATAAACAAAATACAGTTGGGTATATAATACCAAGACTTACAATAGACCAATATAGTTTTTCATAGCCATACTAACTACAAACTGTTTTTACACCATATAGTTTTCATAGTCATACTAACTAATATAACTATATTCTTTATCTATCCGGTCTTTCGTCTTCACTTTGAAGGTCACTCGCTTGCTTCCTTCTTGCATATTCCCATAATATAGCTCCAAATCTCTTTCGGAGAATGTCTGCCTTTACTTGTTGATTTAGAATATGTTGGCCATTACTTACAAACTCTGCAAATGCAACAACGAAAACTCCACAGTCCCTAAAAAATTCAATATAAAATTATTATCAAAATATCTACTTAATACAAAAAAGAATACCTATTTGATAATACTTACAACGAGTCATCTTGTTGTCTGGGAGCACCTTTAGTTATCAAAGCAAGGTAGTAATCAGTTGAATTAAAGATGAATTAAAGATGAATAACACCAATGACCACTTCTAGTTCCAAATCTAGACCCAGAACTTATCAACTTCAACACAAGCAGCCTAAACAATGAGCTAGTTGTCATACACTTAAAGCTCTATTTTCTATCAAAAAACCAACTTCCAAAGCAACTTAAGCCTACATTTCCACTTTATCCATTGGAACAAAACATTCGAGTGCGGGAGAAAAGATCAGATAGAACATGGAACAATGTTATTCCAAATATATGATGTGTCCTCTCATTTACACATCTTTTCCGTCTGTTTTCCAAATTAACACGAACAAGTGTTACCAGCTATTTGACAAGCTCCCACTAATTCTAGACAAAACAATGGACAAAGAGGAGATATTTTGCAATTAAGTAAAACAGAAATGTTTGGTCAACTACCCAAAAAAAATAATCATGCATAGTTAATAAAAAACAACTAAAAATAAACCCCCCACCCCACCCCCAAAGAGGTTCAAATATAACCTAAAGAATGCAAATGATTCTGCTCACCTGATACTTGTGAGATTCCCAAACTAAAATTGGGACCGTCATTAACTTCATCCGTAGCAGTAGGAGATGAACTCTCATTCGACTTCTTCTATAAACTTTCTGATTGAAGTACTAACATCACTAAGTATCCGTGGACTTCTTCTAGGCGATTTTCGTTACCTTCTTCCATTAGAATTTTGTGCTGAAAAATGGGGAAGAAAGAACAATAAAGCCCTAAATTTTTTGGACAGAAGAGTAGAAAGAAAAGAGAGAGAGAGAGAGGATATGAGCGAATGGGCAACACTTTTTTGCTTAGTTTAAAAATTACATGAAAATGAACAAATTTGTTTTAAGTAAGTACTGCTAAAAGTTGACAAAAATGGTAATAAATTAAAAGTATACTTAAAAGTGGTAATTATTAAATAAAAGTCCTTCACTTATGTAATTTTTCCTTTATATAATAGTCTTTTGAAAATATATTGTCTTATTATCTTATCGAAATTGACAATTTTTTCCATTGGCCCAAATTGGAACCAAAATAAATAAGTTATGATTATTAATTTACCAAGTATTAAATTATTGAGGTTTAAATATCAATTTAACAGTATCGTATTCTTAAAAATCAATTCTAATAAATCAATTAAGACACATAAGAGAATATAAATTTGTAATTAGGAAAAAGGAACTCGTTCCATCAATCATCAGTTACCGGTAATTCTATTCGAATTCGCTTCTTTTTCATGTCTACCAATATTTATCATTCTATTTTTATTTGTTCTTCTTTATTCCGTTGAATTGAATCCTCAGATATGGAATCGAATGATGGAGAAATTGACCGGTTAGAGAGGGGTTTGTTGGTCGAACATGAAGAATCTGAAGAAGAACCAGTTATCTATACGGCGTCGTTTGAAGAGAGAGAAGAGAATTTCGTCAAGTATCAAACAGTTCGATGGGTATTGTATTCACTGTTGCTATTATTGGCTTGGGGAATAGGGCTAATCATGTTGATTTATTTGCCCATTCGGAGGTATATTTTACGCAAAGACATCCGCTCCAGGAAACTTTATCTCACTCCCAACGCCATTGTTTACAAAGTAGAGTATTACTTCTTTTTTCACAAACTTTATGTGATCTCCGTGTATTTTACTAAACTAATCTTATTAGGAACTCTGAATGTAACTAGTTTATGTAGTTATTTAATACTGAGGGTAGTATGTAAAACTCTGTTGATTTGTTAAAATGGATAAGTAAAATGAAACGGACTATGTTGCAAATGTGACCTTTACTTGAATTGCTGGTAAAGATTTTCTGAACATGTTGTCAAGCCTTTTCTTAGAGTTTGATTTTATGGTCTAGGTAACAAGACCAGTTCCATTTCCATGTTTTGGGGATTTGAAGAAGGAGAAGTATGTTCTATTGCCATCAGTTGCTGATATTGTAGTTGAACAAGGTAAATATGATTTTCTACTATCTTCTTTTTGCTGTTGGGATATGTGGTCAGTTGCCAAGTTGACATCTTTTTTTTAACTTTTCTAGTTGAGATGATGTCAATGAACTTGGATATAATGTTTACATTTTATTGATAGCTGGTATTTCTAGCCCAATAGTATTTTGCGAGTTACTCGTGCATGAAAGAGGAGAGGAAACCCGGGGTTTGCCTTCTGGGTCTAGCTCGTCGCACCAGGCTTGCCTAGTGCGGGTTACCTCTTCTGTGTGGTTTGCGAGCTATTGCATAGGAGCGGGGGTTTTACCCTGTGCGCACCCAAAGGGTAACAACTGCGGGTTTCCCTGTCATCAAAAAAAAAAAAAGAGAGGAAAAACACATCAGGGTCTCTTTTCATGGGTTCGTTGAAGTTCTTTTTAGTTCCTTGCCACATGAATTATCCCAAATGCATATGACTCTCTCATAAAAAAATCATAGTAGGTAGTACGACGTGGCATTTTAAATGCTCCTGGATGTTAATCTAGTGATTATCTCTAAACTTGTCTGGGATGTTACAAGGGAATGTTAATCCTGCCAGTGCCAGTGCATATTTTAACTGGCTGGAGTTTTTGACTCCACCTACAATGTGGTACCTAAAAGAACTGCAAAAAGAAGAACCCTTACGACATTCTTTAAGTTGTGACATTCAATATTGTTTAGTATTGAATTTACAATATTTTGCTAAATCTCTTATGGGGGTGATAAGAAACTAAGGATCAGAAGTACAAGTATCTGACCAAATGGGATGCTTCTCTTTTCGAGAACAAGAAGGGCATGTCAGGTCCTCTTTTGGTTTAAGTTTCACAATAATCTTTTGACATGATTTGGTCAACCAACACTTCATCGGATGCATGGAAAACTCCACTGCTCAGAGGCTTTTCTTTTTAGATGAATTCTTGTGGATTACTATATCAAAAGTTTGCAAAGCCAGAGAACGGACACTCAGAAGTCTACTTCTATGATTCCTTTCAGTTGTTAGGCTTGGTACAATCTCGACATTTGAGACTTCTGCACTGATGTAATTGTCAGGTTACCTACAGTCTCTGTGTGGGGTCTATTCGATAAGAATTGAAAATGTTGGTGTGAGAAGATCTCCGAGAGATGATCTCCAAATCCAAGGAATTGCAGATGCTCTTGATTTCAGGAAGGTAGGTTTTACCTCTAGTTATAACTTATTGTTAAGATTATTTTCTCTTAGAGAGATACTAATAATTCCTCTTTAAGTAATATTGCTAAGATTATTTCTCTTAGAGAGATACTAATAATTCCTCTTTAAGTAATCTTACTATCTGTTTAAATATCATGCCATGAATCTAAGATGTGTTGACTTGTGAATCTATGTACATTCTCTAGGCTGTTCTGATGCAACTATCAAATCTTAGAAGTAAAGCATTCTCTAGACAAGCTTCAGTTGATGATACTTCGAATTTGCAAATTAGTCATTCCTGTACTACTTCGGTATGTTGTCACTAGATCAAGATTTCTGTATTCGTGATATTCCTTGGTTTCTTTTATGCATTTCCAATAGAAAATATCATCATTGTCAGCAAAGAATCCCTCCTTAAGTGTCAGCTTCTATCTACTAATTTTTGTGATTGGCAGATGTCGCCATCGAGATCCATCAAGCATGATTCATTATCTCATTCTGGAGATGCTGCAGTATTACAGAAGCTGGAAGAAGTTGGAAGTTCCGTGAAGGTAAAAAAAATGACTTTCCCTAAATCAACTGACTATATCTTCTGCTATCTAGTAATGTATGAGAATTTATACAGAGGGTTCAAAATCTGATTGAAGAACACCACCTCCAAACATCAGAACTTGCGGCTTAAGGTAAGCATACAGGAAACATATACTTCAGCGGCCAACTGTGTTGATTACTTTCAATGATTATATCACTTTTCTTTTAGCTGTACAGGTGCACTTGTTCATTTCAGATACTTGGCAAAATGAGTTGGATGTTTAACTGCAAAAGCTGCAATTCCAGTCGCTTCTCATTAAATGGGGTTTGCTTCCTCATTTCATATCAAGTATGGTTGTTAAACATGGCTTCTCTGGAACAAGAATGCCCTGTTAATAGTTTCTAGTCAACATAGGTAGTGGTCTTGCTGATTCCATTGACTGTCTCATCTAGAGTTTTGATAAATCGTTGCAGTGTTTATTGTGGAAATATCTGCTGCAATAAATTTTATCTCTTTCATATTTTGATGCTCATCTTGTTATCACTGTAAAGTTGTTCGTTGAGGTAACCCTATTTGGTTGAATTACTCTTATGCTGATCTGGAGTTCTGCATTTCCTAAGCGGCCCTTTTGCTTTGAGCTACACAAGATTTCTCTCTCTATCTCCTTCTTTCTTTCTTTCATTCATCTTCTTCCTCAACAAGTTAACTTATTGATGAAGAGCACCTTCCCTTATGAAGACCATTAGTAACAGACATTCTAATCAGTTGTCACATCGTGAATCTGTTTCAGAAATTCTAAGGATTTTGATGTTGCATCTAGTTGGCTTTGGTGCTTATCCATATTCCGGCATTATATCAACAGTTGTGAACTATTCAGTGAAAAACAAAACAAAACAGTTGTGAACTACTCTAGAATCCATCCAATTGTTTGCGCATCAAGGTAATCCACTACTTTCAAGGCTTTAAACAATCCTGTTCCAACATGCTTGGTCGTCCAGCTACATCCAATTACAGGCACTGATGATGCTGGTTGTCTCCTTTCCTACACTAGTCTTGACGAGATAATTTTATCGCCAATAAACTTTACTTCTACAACTTTGTCCTAAGTCATGGTTCTACAGTGCTTCCTACTCTGTTCCTATCCTTATCTATCCCATAATACAATAATTTATAACTTGTGTTGCCAATATATCTATCTTTTTCTACTGTCCAACTATTTTTCTGTAGGCAGCAATATTAGCTCTCCTCTTTCCAAAGCATCCATTAATTCTATTGAATTCCCTATCGACGAGCTTATGTTCAAACTATCTATTCTGTCTGACTCTCTTGGACTAGGTTCTTTACCCTTATTCCATCCATTAAGATGCAAGAACATTTTCCTATCTTGCACCACACCAGGTGCCAATGTGGTAGAACTTAATTCTTTACTCACACTTGTCCCTTGTCCATGTGATGGAATCCATTCTTGATTTTTTTATCACACCGGGTTAATCTTGTGGTTGTTGTTGTTAAGGGAAAAAAAACTGAATTATGATTGCTTCTTCAACTTAGAAATACATGTACGGAAACAGCAAAATGCCAAAGTCCCTCCAAGTCACTGCTGAAACTTCTCATTCTTTTGAGGTCAGCTCCAGAGCAAGATTGTTAACGTGAAATTCAACCAGACTTCCACTGAGAGCCAATCCCATCAGCATAGAAGACAAAAGAGGGAGTCAGAGAGAAACTATTGTCAGGAGTTGCTGAAGTTACTTCCTGATGAACGGTAACAATAGCAATAAAATGTGGAGCATTTTGCTTCTGCTAGAAGAAGTTGAGTTTTGGTATCTCAATCATCTGAATAGAGACAGGTTGAACAGGAAATTACTTATTTGGAATGAGAGGATACTTGAAACAACCTTTGCTCATTACAGGTCCCTCTCAATCATTTAGCTTCTACCAGTTTATAGAGTTCCATATACTAAGTATTAGGATGAGTGCCTCAACGGCATCTTTTGATGGCACAACTACTGCCTTCCCAAGTTAAAATTAGTTTGTCTGAAATTCTCCTGATCCATGTCTGCAGGGACTCGTTAATCAATTCTATCAGATACGACTAACAAGCTTCTTCCATATATATTGCTTTTGGATGTATTTCCTTTGATTGAAAATCTATGTTTTTCTTAGATTGATGATATATTTCATCGTCATCTGAAAAGGCAGAGTTTTGTCACAAATGCTAAATATGAGAAGGACCTGTATAGTTAATTTCATTGGGCTTTTGATCCTTCTCTTTGAAGTTTCAGTTGGTGTCACTGTTCTCATGGAAAATTCACAAATAATCATTTTATTCAGCCTACGTAATTGAAAACATAGCCGTTAATATGGAGCTTCACTGAAACTATATGAGAATGACAATTTTTTTTAAAAAAAACAGGATGACATGGTATTAAAATATTTAAATTTGATGTAAATATTTTTTTTCTATAATGGATTACTTGGTCCTTGTATGGGTGGTTTGGTTTTGTATAATTTTCCATTGAATCAAAATAAATATTTTTCAAAATAGATTTGATAAATATAAAAGTAAAAGAAGCTTGAAAAATTGCCAACAATTTCAAAAGGGCACATCAATTTTTTTTTTAACCAAAAGGGCAAAATCACTCTTGACAGAGCGATTTCCTTCTGACAAAATTGACGCCGTTACTTCGTTAAAAACATAAAAATTGCTTCCCCGGCAGTGATGTTGTCATTTTCTTTTAACATCGTTGCTCCTACAGCGTTTTTCTAAAAAATAACTTTTAAAAATTGAAATCAGTGCTATAGCAGCAATTTTCTTAAAAAAGTTAATTTCTTTTTTTTAAATCTCTTGCAAGGCAGCGATTTCATTCAATTTTTGCATTTTAAATATATTGCTGCCTTGAAGTGTTTTGTATTGCCATTTGCTTAAATGATTAATAGTGATTGCACATGCTTGGTTTCAGCTTAATTTCTTTAATATTTTTCTATTGATTTTGGAATTTAATGAAATCGCTGTCCGGCAAACGATTATTTAATTAAAAAAATTTAACTTTTTAAAGAAAATTGCTGCTATAGCAGCTATTTCAATTAAAAAAAATAATTTTTTTTGACAAAATCGCTGCCACAGCAGCGATTTTAAAGAACAAAGAATTTTTTTTTTGACGAAATCGCTGCTGGGGCAGCGATTTTATGCGAAGTAAAGGCGTCAATTTTGTCAGAAGTCAGGAGCGATTTTGCCCTTTTGGTTAAAAAAAAATTTGATGTGCCATTTTGAAATTTTTGACAATTTTTTTTGCCCCTTTGGCTGCGGACTCTTTAAAAAAGCTTGATGTAAATGCTAGCTTGAATGGTGAAACTGAGAGCATTCATAACAATGGCATGGCTGCAACAACAATCTATTTGCTTCGCTTGCCACATAATCATCCCCGAGCTTCGAGGATTCTTCCATTGCGATGCAAGTAGCAAACCCAAGCAAGGAAGAAATGAAAGCCATTAACTTTGGTTCCAGGTCTCTCGCCACATACTACAACACTTGCTTGAATATTGAGTGCCTTTTAATACAGAAATTAAGCATTAAAAGGTGTTATTCAATAGAGGATTAGTTGATATCAAGTAACTACAAATCACTGCCAAATTCTATATATGTTCTATGCAACAACAGTAGGATTCCAACTTCTAAAGGTGGTGATGGCCCGTCCCCTGCTAGCACTGATCCAATATTGTGATATCTAAGGTTAGGCAAATGTGTTCACTATTTCAAACTACTGCTATAAATAACAACAACATACCCGGTGTATTTCCACAGAGTGGGGTCCGGGGAAGGTAGAGTATATGCAGACCTTACTTCTATCTCAGAGGTGAGACCCTTGTCTCCAAACAAAAACATACTAGAAAAACATGTAATGGAAGTACAAGAGACAACGAGTAGCAAATAAAACAACAAAAAGTAGCATAATAGTACTACAACCAAATAATACTACCACAGAACTACACGAAACAACAAATATCAATACAAAATCGAAGAACAAGAAACTACAAGCATAGCACTCTAACTACTAGTAAGTAGTAAGGGGACCAAGACAATGCACTCCTACTAGCATGGACACTCCTGCTATGTAGCATTTTTGCTGATGAAAAAGAACCTTTTGATCGTCAAGTACACTTTCTTTGAAATTAAGTAGAGAACAAATGAGCACCTCATATGGTGAGAACTTCACTGCTTTGCCAAATTCAATGTTAGACAGGATTGATCCTTCTAAGCTTTTCCCTCATTCAAAATCCTGTTAAAATAGGAACAATTTAAAGCTATTTGCTCTCGATCTGTTGAATATAAGTTTGGACTTCCTAGCTAGACACCACAATGGAAGACATGTAAATATCTTATATAAGATTGAGGAGGAGAGAAATCAAGAAACTCAAGCAAGCAGCTATAACCATTAACCATTGTGCTGGTTCCTAAGGTCACATGTAAGCTATTATAAAAGAAGAATACCTAGAGCAAGTTGATTACTTCTGTAGGCATCTCAGGAATGTGACTTTTCTAGTATAACTATGTAATTTGTCAATACAAACTCTTTCCTGACAGATTATCTCAGTTATTGATATATATATATCCTTGAAGCACAAAACCAATTTCCAAAAGAATATATCTTGAGCGCTCCCCGGCATGGTTCTCAGAAATAGCCACACCCTTCCTCACCCTCATCTCCACCACACCTTCATAGTGTGGTTTAGCAGCTTGATGCCCCTATAGTTGTCAAAATTCTATATGTCACCCTGGTTCTTGTACAATACTCCATCTTCATACTTCGGGCATCCTCGCGTCTTGAAAACAACATTAAACAACTTAGACAGCTACACCATGCTTGTGCTCTTCCAAAACTCCACTGGGATCTCGTCTTGTCTAATCGTTCTACCCATACGCAGAACGTCCTCAACATTTATACGCCAACAATACTGACAAACGACAATTGCGACGCTTCTCTCAGTGTTCCAAATCCCTAGCACAATGCATATGTCCCCTCTTCGTTCAAGAGTTTAATGAAGTATGAATCCAATAAAATGAAAAACACTCGACAGGCTTATAAGTAGGATATAAATCATTCTAACAAATACAAACACCATGAAAAATTTAATAAACTTGCCCATAAATTATAGGTCTCTTGAAAGACTATAAACACCCGAATAAATATTTTATAAAGAGAGAATATATCTTAAGACATAAATGTGGGTAAAATAGTAAAAAAAAAACCCTTCTTAATTAATGTTTTTTAAAGGGGCATGCAAAAGGAAAACACCACAGATAATTTGAGACGGAGGAAGTATGAAAAGTATTATACAAATTACCCCTTAATAGGAAACAAGATTTGACATTTTAGTAAAATATATCCATTTGTAAGAAAAAATGGATCTTGGGAAAACTCAACCCGAAAAACTAGTTGATGAGGCGAAGATTGTGCAAGACCCTATAAGAAACCAATTCCACATCCCACAACCGGTGTGGGACACTTAGCAATAGACAAGTTTATTAAATTGTACTTAAAGAATGATTTATTTCCTAGATGCAATTTGTGATGAATGTTCAATTTTCCCAGTTATAGGCGTATTGATTTTTTTCAATTTTCAAGTAATGCTCTTCTTTAACCTTTATTAATTTAGAAGAATTAGAGATTATCAACAGAAACTCTTTTCCAAGTCCGCCTTAGTTCCTCAGCGTGCACTTGATGTTTCATTGACACAAAACTTGTCATTTCTTTACTAATTTATATTTTCATTAATTAACAGATTGCCTGACTTTAGTAATCTAGCTAGCTAGGCTTAGAAAAAATGCAGTTCCTGCCTCTACTTCCTTTATTCCCAAATCTTCATTTTATGACATGATCTTTCCAAGCGCACAAAAAGATATGAGGCTTGTCCAAATGATGTTAACGTTTCTTTACAGCTATCAAAATGATTGAAGGTGAATATTCGCTCAGTGAAACGATAGAAGAAAGATGAGGTTGATAGCTTGGGAAGCATTGTACGCATCAAAGAAGCAAATGTTTCAGAGTCGTGCAGATGATGCACTAGGAGAGACAATGAGTTTAAGGCGGTTAGCTTGGAGGGAGAGTAAGAAACTGAATGAAACGTATTACAGTATAAAAAAA